TACGCAATTACTGTTCACAGTAGATTTTATACAAAAGAAGATGTTTTTCGATCGCAATTAATCGCGATTATATGTACTAGTTTGTAGTTCCTTTATTCAATTAAAATAAAAAATATGAATAGTACTATTGTTCAATAAATACGTTTTGATGCAAGAAAATGAGTAGATTGGAACACGAATTCAGCTTCGAAGCCATGAGATTGTAAGCCAATATTGTCCCTCACACATGAACTTGTCTTTTCTTATTTTTATTTATTTTATGTTCTTGAAATTTTGTAAGGAATGGTCGTGAAAAATAATTTATGATATCTTAGAAATTTTACCGTTCATAAGCTCTTGCCAATCTATACGGACACAGAAGCACACTGTTCAAGGCTTCAAGCATTTGAATTAGTTGAGACAAAATAATTGATGTAAAAGTTATTCACATGTATATACGTACATTGCTGCATTTTTTTGTGGGATAGCATAAATTCAATGATAAGAAAGACATAAACATGATATTATACTGTATGTTATTATTGAAGATTCACTTACACAATAGAAAATTCAATTAATCAAGTACTTTTTGGCCAAAACGTTATAATGAAGCTTACCTACATTTCTTCTAATAATTGGGAAAAAAATAATTTGAATTCAAAGTTAGACATTTTTTTTGGTAAAACAAGTTAGACATTTTTATTTCTCTATTTTAAATTAAATATAAAATGAAAAACATGACACGTGTTTTTTCAGTCCATGCTATATATAAATAAGGCCGTGATGTATCCAAAATATTACCATTCAAAACAAAAACATTGATTTGATTATTATAAGAAAAGAAGAAGCAGGGGATCTGAGAAGAAAAAAAACACACTCAAAACTTATAAATTGTTTATAAAGAATTAAAAATGAAGTCGACGACCGTCGTGATTTTCCTCATCATCTACCTCCTCCTCGCCGTACCTTGCTTAGTTAAAGGTAATTTTGTCCTTTGTTTTAATAAATTTCATAAGCTATGTTTTTCTTATTAATGCTTATACTACTTTTCACATAATTAAGGATCAGAGAAAACGGATTCGGAGGTGTACGAAATCGATTATAGGGGACCGGAGACTCATAACTCTAGACCTCCGCCGGAAACTTTACACGGCAAGCCACCGCACATCCACCATAAAACCTCCGCTGCTGGATCCGCCGGTGCTCATGTAGGAGGAAAGAGTAAGATGCAATCTCCATCTTAACTAGCTACTCATAGAGTCATAATCATATTCTCACATATTTATTATTACATCAATAACATTCGTTAAGTGATATGCATATTTATCATTTTTACAACAACATGCAATATGCATATATATATACCAATAATATTGTTTTTTTGGTAATTTTGGTAGTAATTTTTTATCACTTAAAGGTGGCTAAACATATAAGATTAACTTATTAGGGTTTTGTCCTGTGAACATTGAGTCTTAGGAAAAATAAATTAGAAGAAAATATGGAATTTGATGATATGATAAATAAATTATTACAAGGTTGAAAGCAAGCTAATATTTGATATAAATATCATGAAATTTATTTTTCTTGTGTTCTTCCATTTTATCAGGTTAGAGAGATATTTTTTTCAAGGAGAGGAGAGAGAGACTCAGGAGCTTCAAGTTGAAGAGGAAGTATATGAGAGAGTGATATTATTAATGATGTGGGTACAAAGTTATTTAAAACATTAATTCTTATATATGTATCATATATGATCATCGATGTGAGATTGTTATTATTCTCATGTCATGTCCAGTAATTTCTGTCCTATTCTTTCTTGGATTAATTTTTGTAATAACCAAAAAAAATCATAATTGACAATCTAACCAAAAATCTTATATCTAGTGGCTATGATTTTGTCACATAGAAGATTTTTAGTTAGATTGCCAATTATAATTGTTTGTTTGGTTATTTATCCCAAATTTTCTTCTTTCTTCATATACCGTTTATATAGTATTTTTTTCGGTCTGAATATCTTGGAACCAAATTTAAATTAATTCCGCTTAATATGACACTAAATGAATATTAGTTTTATTACTTAACTAGAATTTATTAATGTGTAGATAGAGATTTTGTTATATTTTACTTTAAGAAAATAGACACTCCAAGCAAATATTCATTGATGCAGGATGTGTATAAACACTTATCATCGACGAGGTTTTATTTGTTGTCTTCCGTTATTAGTTGAAAAAATGAATAAGAAGTTAAAATTCATAAGATTGTTAATGATAGTGTATGATATTAAATTAATAATATGTAAAACATGTGATATCGAATAATCTAAGACACTGGATCCGTGGGGTCTATTTATCAGAAGTTGACCCACCATTTAATCACGGCTTCAATCATTTTATTTCAAAATTGGACCATGTGTATTATTATTTATCACAAGATTCATAACCAAACCGTGTCTCTTATATAAGAGGAAAGTTTAGGAGTATGATTAAATTGTAATGTATAACTATTTCACTTGATTTGATTAATTCGATCTATCAATGCTGGAGTATCTTGTAAACGCGATTGTTTAATGACACAACACAAATGTTCTAGAAGGCATATACTAATATCGAGTATCGACGC